GGTTGTAATGCATAGGATTGAAAATCAGAAAGTTTAAATAAGGGATTCACAGGCGGATCTCAGGTATGGTAGCTAGTAGATAACCCTCGGGCGGAACCCTTAATTAGATAATAACTAAAGTTATACATGTGGCTAGTTATATTTTCGTTGATAAACTATGTATTCATTAATAACTAGATATTACTCAATAAAGACAGACAGGCAAGATTGCCACTTATAACACAAAAAAAAAAACATTTATATATATAAAACATTTACTTTATATATGTAAAGTTAGACTTCTATTATTTTTAATTAGTACTCCAAAATTAGTTTAAATATCAGTTTTTGTTGTTTTGCATTTTTTTCATTTTTTTTCTGCATATTTGGTGAATTAATAATTCTGATCAAATTTGCAGATCATTTTACCAAATCTAGACAAATGCTGCAAGTTTGATCAGAATAATTCTATTAATCAGGTGATGCAGATCCATTTTGCTTTTAGACTGATTCAAATCGATTTTTGATTGGTAATTCAAACCTGGATTATAAAACTGATCAGAATTATGAAAATTGCACTGTGCAGCTTTAAAAATTGCCTGTGTAGACTGTGCAGTGAAATACTGCGCAGGCTGTGCAGTGTCCTATATCTACATGTGACTATGGCAAGTGATTAATTACAGTCTAAGGATGAATGAATATTGTTAGTAATAGGATTTACAATAGTTAATAGTTATATAAGGCAACACTTTCACTGTTATTATAGGTCAGGTAAGTAGTATATGTTTCACAATTGTAATCACTAGCTTTTGCCTAGGCGAATTGCCCTTTATTTATAATTAACGGTCTTGTCTATTTACATTAGGGATTTATCGAATATATCGAATATGTCTAATATATCACATTTCGCATTTATCGCATTAGTTTAATATATCACACTTATGCGATATAACCGATATATCAGATTTATTGCACGGGTCTTATGTAACAACCCGTGCTTTTTTCATTTACTTATTGGCACGGGACTGTACGTCAGACACCGTGCAATAAAATAGTTATTATAAAATAACTAAATTTGCATGGAGTTACATGGCCTTCAGCCATGCAACGTCAACCCGTGCAAATTTAGTTATTTTTTTTACAACCCATACAATAACTATAACATATCAGATATATTTGAAATACCTGCATACCTGACATTCGGGATCTACATCGGTCACGTTTTCAGATCTCACAATATATATTAAATTACCACAATATATATTAAACTACCACGATATATATTAAACTACCCCAGTGGCACCGACAGATTTTCATTGATCGACAGCGATTGACCAATTATATTACAAGATCAGGTGTAACGTGAAATCAAAACAAAAACCACCACAAAATTTTAGTATAAAGCAAGTATCGTTATAATTATAAACCTTACCCTAATGTACCGTTTTATGACTTTAAAAAAAATGTCGATCAGTGAAAGTCTGTCGGTGCCACTGGGGTAGTTATATAAATAACTTATCTGCAATGTTACTCTTAATGGGTTTAGCTTAAATTAAAAGAACTTGTAACTACTGTGAGGACGGATTTAGATAGGGTTTAGATAGAAATAATAAAAGAATAATAAAGTATCTCCAACTGTGAACTACTTACCTGACCCTAACAAAGTGCAAGTATTGTCTTCTAACACCCCGTGACCATCGTTAAATTCCATCCCTAACAGAACCCGTCCGCCCTAAGAATAAACTAAGCCCGCAGTTGATCGTTCGCCATAGTCATGTGCCATGAAGACCGATCCGAAAGAGAAGAGTCCCGACCCCGATTCGACGTAGTAAAATACAGGTTGAACCGAAAAAAAGAAGATAAGAGTTAGTGAAAAGAGTAGGTTGAAGGAATCAAGAGAAGAGATCAGTACTTACCTACGGACGATAAATCACTCACCGAATCCACACGCCTTTACCAAGTACGCAAGCTATCCGATCGTTACACGAAGCTGACCTTCGATTAAGCAACAGACTCGCCGATTTAGGAGCTCTCAATTCCCTATATGGTCTTCGTGATACCGTGATACCTTATATCGTGACCAATCACGTGAAAAATGCACGAAATGCAATAAATGTAATAAGTGCCGTAAATTCAATAAATATAATAAGTTACATTTAAGATCGGAAAAGGTATTTCGGGTAGATAAGGAATAAAGGGAGGAAATAACGGATATTAAATAAATCACTGTAATTAGTTTAATTAGTTTTAATGGATAAGTCGCATTTGTAAGCGACGAATTTATATTATAAATAAAGGCCGAAATGGCCCTTTGGAGCAGTACGCTTTGTTTGCTTTATTAAACAATAAATCCTAATACCCTACATTGTACTTAATAAACACTAACACTATTACCGTTACAAACCCTGTGAACCCCTAATAACGTCGCTGTTCAACCCTTGACCACGTGACTTACCCTATTTGCATTCGTTGACCCAAAGTGACCGAAAGCCTTAACCGCCCACAAGCCAAATCTAACACCCTCTTTCGAAAAGGTTACTTGTCGTACGTTACACGAGGTTTAGAATTTTGGAGCGACCGAGTCGCAATCTTCCGAACCCAACACTACCCATCATTTTTTTATGTCGTATTGGTTGGTTAATTGCATATTTTCAATCTAATAAATTGAGAGTTCGTAAACACTGACCTGATGATTTGATTGGATCATTTATTGCTGTTTGCAAAATAATGCAAATTCTAATTACTGATTTTCAATTTTTTATTTTTTTATTTTTAGATTAGATAAAAGTTGCGCATTTATTATTTATTTTTTATAGAAATAAAAGTGCATATTCATCATTTTGCAACATTTGCAAAAATAGGAGTTGTGCATAATCTAATTTTTACAAATGATAAATGCACAATGATCAAATTCCTCATAATTTTGCAAACCGCAATAAATCTGATCACTGACAAACGTTTAAAATTGCATTTTTACCATCATATTGATATATTTTTTTAGTCATATCAGATTTGCATATGTTATTTAACTCTTAATATAATCAATACTTTTTATTCACATGTTCCTGCTATGATTTTATGATTTTATGGCGTTAATAAAGTAAACTGTTATAATAAGAATCTTTTTTTATTTATATGTTTGAATCTAAAACAAGAGAAATAAAATTAATCTATCAAAAGTGGAAAAGCTCATGATGGTATTGATATATACTGTAAATAGAAAAGTTTATGTGATATAGTACACAATTTGATAATACGCAAATTTAAAAGCTCACGAGGATGAATCATCTAACCCGTATACACTCTTTCTCTTGGCATAACCATACACTCCGTTTCTGGTATAATTAGGTTAACATAGCAAATCATTACAAGTGATCTATTTTAAGTAAAAATGATAAGTGGCTGTTACATTTTTAAAGCATTATACAAAATAAGCAAAAATATGATATGTAGAATTAGATGGTATTAATCGATTTTAAACCGCATACATTTTTTTTCTTTTTTTAGAAAAATTATATAACCAAACTGGTTACGTCACTCTCGATTTTATATATATACATTTTTTTAGAAAACATGTCCACGGTCAAAATAGGTAAAATCAGGAATAACATGAAAAAAAAATGAGGCTTGCAACTAAACTACAAACAGTCCACAAGGATAAATACCATGTAAAGTGAAAAGACAACCAATCAGAGGAACGTATTTGTTCACACCATTTTCACTCCTTGGCATAAAAAAACTTTTGCCGTCTTAGTTTTAGCTAGACTATATTAATAATTTATGCAATATTTGTCATCAATGAAGCCGCAGTGCCTTTTATTAACATTAGGATACGTACGTGTGCATTTTTAATTTTTTACGATTATATAAAGTCTGCATTAAAAAGGAATTACCCATTAAAAGAAAAATGATTCTCTTTTATGTTTTTATAGCATGTCTTGTATTTTACTATATACTAAAGAAACCAAGCACTCCGCGTGGCCTTAAAAAACTTCCTACACCTGCTGGTAGCAAATTTTATTTCGGTAACTTTTATAGTTTATTACATTTAAAATAATTTGAATTTGTGTTGTTTGCTTTATAATCTTATACGTATAACCAACACTTTTCTTTAGGACATTATTGGCAAGTTGGTTCTGAATCACACAAAAAGTAAGATGAATAAAATATCATGTAATATAAAAAATAAATATAAAATAATTGAATAAAAAAAAATTTTTAAATAGATTTACAGATTGGGCAAAAACATTAGGAGATATATATAGTATACAAATGGGTCAACAATGTTGGATTATATTAACAGGAGATAAAGTTGTTAGTGATCTTTTACAAAAACGTATGTATACACATATGTTAGAGATTCGACAGATTAAGCGCAATCATAAACAAATTTTTCTTTGAAATTATAGGCGGTGGAAAATATTCATCTCGTCCACCAAATTATTATTTTTTTCAAATATTGACAAGAGGCAAAGGGTTTGTTAATTGCCCATATAATGGAAGATATAAAATGCTTGCACCAATTAGTAAGTAATTGATCATTCATTAAAATATATTTTTTCTTTGGGGTTTTTTCTAATCGTAAATATTTTGTTATATAGTACTCGAAATTTTAAGTCAACGAGCTGTAAAAGAACATTCTAATTTAATTGATTCACAATATCGTATACTTATGCAAAATATTTATCGAACTTCAACGAATACAAATGATAGCATGTATCCTAAATGTCATTTTCAACTAACAAGTTTAAATATAATTACTACCTTATGCCTGGCTAGGAGTATAAAAGATACAGAAGATCCGTTTTATAAAGAATTTGAAGCTTTTATGAAATTTCATTTGAATCTTATCCAAGTAACAAATAGATTATCTGATTTTTTCCCGATATTGAGATGGTTTCCGAATAATAAATTATATCATGATGTAATCAAAGATAGAAGAATGATTGAAACTTTATATGGAAAATTAATTGAAGAAGTTAAAAACGATAATGAAAAGAAACCTTGCTTCATTAGAAGTTTACTTTGTAAAGTTGATGAAGGAATTCTGGATGAATTGGATGTTGTTTATATAATAAATAATATTTTTAGTGCTGGAACTGTGAGCAATTTTTTTACTAATTTTTTATACTAATTCTATTCTAATTTCTATTCTATCTCTATTCTAATTATAGGACACGGTTTCTTCAAGTTTAACATGGATCACGGCTGCTTTAGCCAATAATTCTCATATTCAAGATAAAGCCCATCAAGAGCTTGATCAAGTAATTGGGCATTCTCGTTTACCGAATGCTTCTGATGAACCAAACTTGCCTTATATACGTGCAATTATCAAAGAAGGTCAGAGATACTGTGGACCGGTTTATCTTGGCGTGTCTCATTATACTGAAGAAGATGATGAATATAATGGATATCATATTCCAGCAAATTCGGTTGTTATTTTAAACCAATATGGAATTCATATGAGTGAGAAAATATATGAAAATCCAAAAGAGTTTAAACCTGAAAGATTTTTTGGTATTAAAGAAAGTAGTGCAACTTTAGCAAAAGGAAAGTTTGAAGATAGAGATCATTACGGATTTGGAGCTGGAAGAAGACTTTGTGCTGGAATTCATATGGTATATATGATTAGTATTAAAATAATTTAAATAATTTGAATTATTTATTTAAATTTGGTAAGTTATTTTTAACAATTTTTGAATTTATTTGCTCTTATATGTATGAACATATACAGGCCGAACTTGAGCTTTTTTTGGGTGTTTCACGCCTTCTTTGGTGCTTCAAAATTGAAAATGCATCACCACTTGATAAAATCGGCAAACCAATACTGATTAATTTGGAAAAGGCACATTTGGGTGCAACTGTATGGCCGGAAAAGTATCATGTTAAATTTATAAAAAGGCATGATAATGTTGAAAAAGTTTTATTGAATGAATAGATCAATTTTTTTTTACGATTATATCTCATACTGCCGGGTGTGATCAAATTGAATGATCTTGTTTTTTTTCAGAAATACTATAATATGGAATCGTTCTCAAACATTAGTCAACTTGCTTGTATTTTATTTTACTTTTGAGATATTATCAGGTTTACTTAAATAAAGACAATTGAGTCAATATCAAGTTTGTCACTAGTTGATTTTCTTTGTGAAAGAATGATTTTTTTAATTAGTAATAAAAAGATGCGTAACATGTATTTTTTAACTGTTAACTTCTTAATAGCATGATCACATGATTTTTGTCCAAATCACATTAAACAATCAGACCAATAAAATTAAGCGAAGTGTTAAAATTATAAAATCTTTTAGTATTGGGTTAATGCTAAGGTGGACAGAGAACGCACTGCATGTAAAATTTTGCGAGAAACTTTTTTATTAAGACATCAAAGACAGTTTCTTAAGCAAAATTACGAGTTTTTGGCAAAATGAACTGAATTTTCCTGATCATGCTACGCACCCGATCTTGGACAAAAATCACGTGAATGCACTTTCTACCCAGAAAAATTCTGCGCAATCAATCAGATTGTTGTAACATGAAAAGTATGAAAATCGGTCAGAGTTTGTAACTCAAAATCTTGCCTATGAAAATATCTTTCAGGTTCTAATAAAAAAATTCCTTAGTAAGATTGTGACGTATTTTTATAAGTATAACTGATATACATTCTTTTTATTCAGTCTGAATTTTGATTGCCTGGTTGGCGTATATACCTTGTCTTAATACTTCGATCCTTGTTTGGTCTCCTTAAAAGACCCTTTTTGATTAATCTTTTTGAGGTTCAACCTTTACAATAGTACTATCAAAGATCTATATTACCTTTCTGGTTATGATTTACAAGCAGGTTTATATCATTCTGTTTTTTAAATTTTTATATCTAGTAATCTTAAAATAAGTATGTTGATTCTGATGCCGGTTTGTATCCCTTTGTAAATATTACACAGATGTCAAACTTATAATTATGTAAGTATAACCAAGATTATATATAAGTTTTTTAACTCAACTTAACCTGGACAGTACACTGCAATACAAATAGGTTTTCAAATTTTGATATAAATAGAATTTAAAATTTAGACCTGCTACTTGAAATCTAAACACATTAAAATATAAGCATGATATCGATGCAAAAAATTTATATAACTCACAAATTCAGAAATCACGAGATAAGTCACAAGGATCGATCATCCAATCATATCCAAGATTTTGTATATCCACATCTGAATCTCCTATAAACCATACACTAATACACTATGCTGTACGTTGTACAAACTCCGTTCCTGGTATACCCATTGTACGTTGTAAAAGTCGAAACCGCTTACCCCGGTGGTGCTACGCATCCGACGTAGCACAAAATTTCTTTTTCTTCTATTTGTT